CCCCCTCCCACCTCGGTCTCAGACACTCGAGGTGGCAGGGAGAGAGAGTTTGCAGCTAGCTGCAGGCTAAGAGACAAAATAACTCCAGTGAATCGCAGGACAGTTGCTATTGGCTAAGTAGCTGAAGAATGAGCAATCTGGGCTTCTCATGCGGAGCTGGACCGCATCCAACTGCTTGCTCCAGCCCTGATTCAGCATCCTCCGTCTCGCCTGCATGACATCGCATGACCGGTGCTGTAACGATTCCCTGTGCACATGATGCTCAACTGCAGGGCCAAAGCTGAAGGTGCAAACAGCAATGCAGCAGACGCACATGAACGTGGGAAGTGGAAAAAGCTCTATTGTTATTGTGTCTGCACATATATAAAGGAATTGTCTGCTTGCATTTGTTGTTCATTCTACCTCTCAGTTAAAAAGTGCATCTCTTTGTACACAAATTAGGGTTTACCATTAAAAGGGTCTCGCTTGCATTTGGCAGTGGGTGTTGTGCAAACCCCGCTCAGATCCAGCGCGTTTCCCAGCATGGTGTTCATCCTGGAGAACGTGTCTGCATTGCTGCACGTAGACAGGGCTGGAATATCAGAATCCAGGCAGTTAAGAAGTCTGGGATTCTCACTCTGTCAGAACAAAACAGACATGAATCACAGAAACGGTACAAACATAGGCCTGATTCTTCCCTTACCACACCACTTTAGATTCAATTAGCAAAACCTTTTTTATTTTTTGAAATTAAGTAGAAATTCATTCTAGTCCACTTTCACTAGAGTGATGGTGAACAATAAGCCTATAAGTTAATTTGCCACGCATGCTGTTAAATTGAACAACAAAGCAGCCAATGATTAAATCTGACAAGCCCAATCAATGGCAACTATATTAATGGACCCCTACCTCACTGTAAACCATTACTGATGACAGATACAGGCCATCACAACAGCTAGCATTCCTGCATGCTCGACAACAAAAAAGGAGTGGAATACTTATTTTCACTTCTAAATGACCCCAAAACTTAATTGAGGTAGTAAACGCGGGTCAAACAATCACAAAGCAAACATTTGACACGCTCACAAACTCAAAACTATTTTTAACAAAAGTGGTGCAAGATTCAAATCCGAACTAACACCGAAACTCACCAAAGAAAACGCCATGGTAGGACTATCAACCAAAATTATCGAAAACAACACCTTATTTAACTCTCCTAAGTCTACTTAAACCTTTCGAAGGCTATTTTGACCTAATTCACAACACCTGTGCTCGGGTCAAGCACCTCTTTCTCTCCTGGAGCCAGTTCTTCTCTTGAGCAACCAATCACTGGTTACATATTGATATTTATTCATGAGGGGCGGGTACTTGACGAGGACGTCATTTTCCATAGGCTAATTTACGGTTTCAAAAACTACCGTATCTTTTAAATTCCCCCAAATTATCTATATTATATCATTACAATATTTCTGATTGCTGTCCCAGTCTCATTTTCTCATACAAGTTAATTCTTATTCAACAAAGTTGGTCGTGGCGTCTGATGCGTTGTGCATTTTAAAGCCTTCTGCGAGATTTATGAATATGTTTAAATCTAAAAAA